TCCAGCCCTGTCTGCACGCCTGTCCATCTTGCCCTGATTCTGAACTTGAGGGAGACATGTCACTTCTGTATTCCCTTCTTAGACCTGCTTTATACTAGGTGCTCAATAAATGCCGCATGAGTGACTCCCTGGATAACACATTGCAAGCACCAGGGTTGGTGCTCCTGGGTCATTTAGCGAAAATGTTTTCTTCAGTTTTGTCCCAACAGTTTGCCCTTGACCACTGAGGCTTCGGACTTCTTGAGGTCTTGTCCTGGAATTGGTGTCCTTGGTTTCCAAAGTCTGCTTGGGAGTCCTAGGAGTTCATCAATCCTGCACTCTCAGCCAAGATATCCCAGAATGCCCTTCATCACATGGACCCCAGTAGAGCCCTGAGATGTGGGTCAGTGTCTCTGCTGTGGGTCTCTGGCCTCTGAGCATCCTCTGGATACAATTAGGTGGTGGCAATGACCTTTTCCCATCCCCCATTGCCCCAGGAGCACTGAGAGCTGGGAGAAGCCTTGTGATCTGGAAGTGAAATGCAGAATCTGATGTGCCAGGTGGCTGCGGAGGGACTGGGCCTAAGGAGGGAATACCTCCAAAGGAATCTCCCTCTGTCCTTCCATCCTTAAAACAATATTCCAAAAGCCAGGTAGCTGTGACTCACACTTGTCATCCTAGCTACTTAGAAGGCCGAGATCTGAGAATCTTGGTTCGAAGCCAGCCTGGGCTGGGAAGTCTATGAGACTCATCTCCAATGAGCCACCTAAAAAGCCAGAAGTGGTACTGTGGCCCAAGTGATAGAGTGCTGGTCTTGAGCAAAAAAGCTCAGGGACAGTGCTCATCCCTGAGTTCAAGCCCAGTACACACACACACACACACACACACACACACACACACACACACACAGACACTCTATAGATAAGGAAGGTCAGGAGAGATATGGTTGGTTACCTGATCTTTTAGCTGGAAATGTCACGTTAAGATTTATTTGGGTCACAAAATCATTTCTTTAAAGAATAAAGTAGGGCAGCCTGCGAGAATGGGAAGAACACACACTTGGGAGAAAGATGGACTTGGGTTGTGTTTCGTGTTCTCAGCCACCAGGCTCTTGGCCGCCTAGCTCAGGGCTCAAAGGAATTCCTGAGGCTGTCTAGGTCTTTCTCAGTTCTAAAACTAGGATACTCAATTGGGTGCTGGTGTTATGCTTGCAATTCTGAGTACTCAGGAGACTGAGATCTGAGAATTAAGGTAGAAAACTCAGTGAGACTTTCTTCCTTCCTTCCTTTTTTTTTTTTTGGCCGGTCATGGGGCCTGAACTCTGGGCCTGGGTGCTGTTCCTCAGCTCTTCAGCTCAAGGCTAGGGCTCTACCACTTGAGCCACAGCGCCACTTCCAGCTTTTTCTGCTTGTGGTGCTGAGGAATCGAACCCAGGGCCTCATACATGCAAGGCAAGCACTCTACCACTGGGCTACCTTCCCAGCCCTCTTTCTTTCTTTCTTTTCTTTCTGTCATGGGGCTTGAACTCAGGACCTGGGCACTGTCCCTGAGCTATAAAGCTAGCAATCTACCACTTTGAGCTACAGTGCACTTCTGGTTTTCTGGTGGTCAACTGGAGATGAGTCTCACGGGACTCTCCAGCCTGGGCTGGCTTTGAACCATGATCCGCAGATCTTAGCTTCCTGAGTAGTTAGAATTACAGGTGTGAGTCACTGGCGCCTGGCTTTCAGTTAATCTTTAATTAACCAGGAAGAAAACTGGAAGTGGAGCTGTGGCTCAATTAGTAAAGCATTAGCCTTGAGCACAAACGCTAAGGGACAGTGCTCAGGCCCTGAGTTCAAGCCTCAGTGCTGGTGTATTGGTGTACGTACACACACCGATACTGTTGGGATGCTGGGTTGGATGCTGACATAAAACTTTGTAAAGCACTGAGTCCGATGGATGGTCGCTCCTTTGCACACATCGCTGTCCTCTCCCTTCACTGCCTGGCTGCCCCAGGCTGCTGTAGAACCACTGAGGTGCCCACACCAGGACATCTGCCACCCTCACCCCATCCTCCCTTCTGGTTTGTCCAGGCCAGACAAGTGCCAGGTATTTCTCCTGCACCTACAGCAGCACCTTGCACATCAGAGGCCCAAGATTTGTGGCAGAAAGGTACAGCTCTGCTCACTCCTTCTCTCCCCTCCTCCCCCCCCAGTTAATTCCTCAGCCCAGAAAGGCTAGGAAAGGTACCTGTACCCTCAGGGCAGCTATCTAGACTCCAAAGGCCCAAGCCAGCCAGGAAAGTGAATGAAGCCACCAGGGGTTGTTGTTGAATGGGTTAAAAACAGCTGCCACCCGGTGCAGGTATTTCAGTGTGAAGAGCAAAGAAGGGGCTGGAAAGACTTGGGTGGGGACATTTGAGGTGGGCTTTGAAGGGAGGGTAGGGGTTTGCCAGGAGCCAAGGGGCCTGGAGCAGGAACAGCACGGAGGGATGGAAGGAAAGAGATCCGAGAACGTGTATATGGAAGAACTCTGAAGGCCAGGAGAAGAAATAACGCATTAGTGATAGACTCTGGCCTGTGTGTGTGTGGGGGGGGGGGGCGGGGGGGTCAGCAGATGGTGAGGGGCTGGCCAGAACTGACCAGAGAGGGGCGGGCAGCAGGTGGCAGCCGGGGACGACGTCTTTGCGGCCTGGCCAGGGTGTGAGGACACCCACGTCCGCTCCCCTAGGTCCACTCGGTGCCCACGCGGCGCCCACCGCCCGACCCCCGCTCAGTGACTCACCAGGGGGCGGGGCCCGCAGGGGCGGGTGACGTCACGAAGCGGGGCGGAGCTATGCGATCTAGGCGGAGTCCCGCGAGGGGCGGGGCCCTACCTCGGGAGGGAGACCAGAAGCGCAGACCGGAAGTCCTTCCACCTCCGCCCGCCTCTGAGCTCCCTGGCGTCCCTCCCTCGGCTTGGTGCGCGAGGTCGTGCCCCGGAAGTAAAGGGGCCATATTGACGGGTGACCCCCGAGCGAGGTACTGGGCGAGAGGCGAGTCCGAAGCAGAGGTAGCGCGCGCGGCCCGCGGTGAGTGAGGGGCGGAGGGGTCGAGGGCGGCCGGCGGCCGGCGGCTCGTCGCTCCTCGCCTCGGGGCGCTGCGGGGGTCCCGTCGCGTCCGTCCCGGCCGGGCGCCGCCGGCGTGGGGGGCTCGCCCAGCGCGCCCGGGGCGCCCCCGGGCCCCCCGACGCGGCCCACCCCGGGGCCGGCGGCCCGCGCCCCCGGCGCCCCGGCGAGGCGGCCTGGGCGTGGGGGTGTCCGAGCCGCCCGGCTCCCCCGGGAAGCCCCGGGCCGGGCGACCCCGGTGCGGCCGAGGCCGGCGGCGCCGGGACGCCCGCGAGACCCGAGGCTGGGGCCCAAAGTCCACAGTGTTTGTCTGCAGGCGCTCGGCTCTCCCGCTCAGGCCCGTTTCTGTAACAGTGGGGGGGGGGGGAATCATTCTTGCACGCGGGCACGCGTGTGTGTAGCGGGAGGATTTTTTCTTTTTTCAATTCAGCATCGTTTTGAACCGGTGTGTACCACTTCCCGGCTAAGAAAGTTCCTGGAGCGCCCAGAAGTGCTGAACATTTTGGAAGGGCCCCGCCCAGGGTGACCCTCCCCGCCCCCCTTTTACAGCCGTGGCCTGTGGGCAGGTGACTTCCCTCTCTTAGCTTCAGTTGCTCCACTTTAAATGGGGATGATGAGTTAGTTGTTATTTGGGGTGTGCGTAGAGCACCCCAGCACTGGGGTAGCCCTTCTCCGCAGATGACCACTTAGGAACCCCGACCTCCTCTTAGGCTTTTGGTTAACATGTAACAATGGATGACAGCATACATTTTTTGTGTGTATGTGTGTGTGCCGGTACTGGGGCTTGAGCACGGGTGCTGTCTACAAGCTGTTTCGCTCAAGGCTAGCTCTCTACCACTGGAGTCACAGCCCCACTTGTGGATTTTTGGTGCCCAGTTGGAGATCAAGAGTCTCAGACACTTTGTTACTGGGGTTGGCTTCAAATGTTGCTACTCAAATCTTAGCCTCCTGGGTAGTTAGGATTACAGGTGTGAGCACCAGTGCCAGGCCGAATGACAGAGCACTTAACATGTGCTAACACTGCCTGTGTAAGAGTTTTTTTTTTGGGTCCGGTCTGAACTCTGGGCCTGGGCGCTGTCCCTCAGCTCTTTAGCTCAAGGCTAGCGCTCTACCACTTGAGCCACAGCGCCACTTCCGGCTTTTTTTCTTTTTGCTTATGTGGTGCTGAGGAATCGAACCCAGGGCCTCATGTATACAAGGCAAGTGCTTTACCACAGAGCCACCTTCCCAGTCCCTGCCTGTGTAAGAGTTTATAGGTGCTGACTGAAGGCGGTGACATTTAATTTATAATGGCGTGTGGTATTTAGTGGGAGCTGCTCTATGTGTGATAGAGGTATTGAGTGTGTATCAAGTGCTGTTCTGAGCATGTTCCCATACATTGACATTTGATGTTTAGGTGAACCACTTGAGCAAAATACAAGGCAGCCTCACTTTGAAGAGGAACTAGTCAAGTGGAAATCCTGTCGAGATAATTCCTGAAGTAGAGTGTGGCTGAGTCCTTGCCTTCCGCCAGTCTGAGCCACATCTAGTGGTAGAGTTCTATTATATATAAGTGTTTCCTGTGGACAGTCCTCACAATGACCTTAAGTGGTAGTTGCCATTACCTCTAGTATACAAGTGAGAAGCTGCTGTTCAGTGGGGTTAAGTACCTTACCCAAAGCCTGTGGCAGGTAAGTGACTGAGTCAGGTCTCAAGACCAGGGGGTATAGTTACCAAGTCCTGGTGCACCCTAACCTGCATTTTCCCTGAGGGGATCTTGGGGAGGCTGGGATGTAGTCCTAGCTCGGTCCTGAAGTCAGTGTAACCTGGGTAGTCTCTGTATCTTGGATTAAGAACTCTTAGCTTACTGTGTCTATAAACGCTATTGCATTAATTCTGACTACGTTTTCCTGTTTCTGTCTAGAAGGCCACGTCTCGCCCCTGCCAGTCCCCCATGGCCCCGTGGAGCCGAGAGGCGGTGCTGAGTCTCTACAGGGCTCTGCTGCGCCAAGGCCGAGAGCTCCGCTACACTGATCGAGACTTCTACTTTGCTACTATCCGCCGTGAGTTCCGGAAAAATCAGCAGCTCGAGGATCCTGTGGCCCGGGAGAAGCAGCTAGAGAAGGGGCTGGTCTTCCTTCACCGCAAGTTAGGGGGGCTCATCTAGGACCCTCTCTTTTTCCCCTCATACCCTAATTCCAAGGGAAGGAGGACAAAGGTGCCTTCAGCAGACACTCCTGCCCTCTCTCACTCCCACCTCACAGATGCAGTAAAACGCCTCAGGTACGTAGGCCCTTCTTCCTGGAAGTGTCTGGTTTTCTGATATGGGGTACTAGGAAGGGGAGAAGCTTTCCTTAGTGACTACAGTTCTTAAGTTCCTTTAGCCCTTAGAATTCCATTGAGGAAATAGCAGATGTTTGAACAGAAGCTCGCTCTCTCTGTCTTCTGCAGAACTGGCAGTCATTCCCAGGGCCTTGAGCATCTGAGGCAAGTGCTCTGCCACTTGAGCCATGCTTAGCCCTAAAATGGGTTCTCTAATTGAGAAAAATAGGCCCTGAATTAAAAAAAAAGTTTTATTATTAAGGTGTTGTACAGGTTACCATTTCATAAGTCGGGTATGGAGTACATTTCTTTTTTTGGACAATGTCACCCCTAATTCCCCGTCCCCCCGTCCCTGTCCATTAGTTACATACGTCATTTTCCACACAGTATATACTGAACAGCATTATTGCATTTGTTTATTCTTCTTCCCCCCATGCCTTTTCCTTTGTACCCCACCCCCCTGAAAAAAAATCACCCTACCACCAAAACCCACATTTTCATTTCCTGGAATTCATTTTGATGAATAGTATTTTAAATGTTCAGGGGAGTTACACCTTTGGGTTCTTCCCCTAAGAGCATCCTCTGTTAGTCTGATTCTGTGTGAATGCCTATTGTTCTGTATAGGTTATCGTGTCCAGTTGTATTTTAGATCCAGCTTCCACATAGGAGAGAAAACATGTTGTTTATCTCTCTGAGCTTGCCTTACCTCAATTAACAGTTATTCTAGGTCCATCTATTTCCCTGCAAATGACATAAGGTTATTCTTTCTAATGGATAAGTAAATTTCCATTGTGTATAGGTACCACATTTTATTGATCCCCTCATCTATTGTAGGCCATCTGGGCTGTTTCCATAACTTGCCTATTGTGAATAGTGCAGCAATGAACATGGATGCACAAGTATCTTTACCATATCCTGACTTGTTATGCTCTGGGTAGATGCTCGAGTGGTATGGCTGGGCCATAGGGAAGTTCTATGTTTAAACCTAAGGTCCTGGGGCTCAGTGGTAGAGCGCTTGCCTTTCATGCATGAGGCCCTGGGTTCGATTCCTCAGCACCACATAAGCAAAAAGAAAAAAGCCGGAAGTGGCACTGTGGCTCAAGTGGTAGAGCGCTAGCCTTGAGCTGAAGAGCTGAGGGACAGCGCCCAGGCCGAGTTCAGGCCCCAGGACCGGACCCCAAAAAAAAAAAAAAAAAACCTAAGGTCCTGAATTTTAGGCCTCACTAAAATAGAATTACTGTAATCATTTTATAGAATATTTTACATATGAACATGTTTGAAAAGATACTCCTTAAATTCACTAGAGTTCAGTTCTAATCTGACTCATTCTTTTCTTTATTTATTGTCTGATCAACAGTATATCAGATCAGATCAAGTTCCCTAAAACATTACTGTTGTTACAGCAAGTGTAACATATAGACTTCAGAGTTTGAGGCCTAGGTTCAAATACTGGCATTGCTACTAACAGCTGTGGATTTAGGGCATGTCTCTAAGCTTTCATTTTGTCATTTGTGAAATGGAACCGGCCCCCTCAGTTTACAGTGAGAGTGCACACACAACTCTGGCAGTAGTCCTTGGTAAGATGTATGGTAGTCCTATATCTTTGGAAGCTAGTCTTACCAAGAAGTCTTCCCTAAAACATAATGACGCTAATTCAGCATCCTTCCCAGAGTTCCTTGTGTGGCCCTGTTATTCTGTAGTCTCTAGGGACAGAGATGAAAGCTCCAGCCCATTAAGGAACTGGAAATCATCCTGGTAGTGCTGTGCATAAAGAGCTGGGCAGACAGGGGTAAAGATAGCCCGCCTTGGGTATGGGGTGGGAGGGGATCACAGGTGGCCGTGGAAAGAAGGACCTTGAAGGCCTGCCTCCGGAGAGGCTTGCTGGACAGCGGAACAGATAAGCAGATGCCTGGGACTGGAAACTTGTGGTCTGGAAACAAGTGTGGTGTGGCTAGAATGGCGGACCTGTGAGGCAAATGACAGGAGTTGGAAGTCAGGCCAGGTGTAGAAGGATACCCTGTTTAGTACACTAGGCACCACTCCAGCTTTGTAAGAAAGAAATGACAGCAAGTCTGTGTCTTAACATGTGCCAGAATAGTGTGGAGACAGTAAGTTAGTGAGACAAAGTAAAAGCAGCAGCTGGGCGCCTGTGGCTCACATCTATAGTCCCAGCTACTCAGAAGTCTGAGATCTAGGGCTGGGAAGGTGGCTCAGTGGTAGCGCGCTTGCCTTGCATGCCTGAGGCCCTGAGTTCGATTCCTCAGCACCACATAAGCAAAAAGAAAAAAGCCGGAAGTGGCGCTGTGGCTCAAATGATAGAGCGTTAGCTTTGAGCTGAGGGACAGTGCCCAGGCCCAGAGTTCAGGCCCCACTACTGGACCCAATAAAAGAAAAAAAAAAAAAAAAAAAAAGTCTGAGATCTAAGGATTGTGGTTTGAAGTGAGCTCTGGCAGAAGTCCCTGAGACTGATCTCTCTAATTAATCAGCAAAAACCAGAAGTGGGGCTATGGCTTAAGTGGTAGAGCACTAGCCTTGAGCACAAAAGCTCAGGGACAGCACCTAGGATCCTAGTTCAAGCCCCCTAATGGGCATACATACACAAAAAAGAAATAGAGGCACCAATTTGGCCAAGTGGATTGAGAAACTGAGGTGGTGGGGCGGTTGCTTGTAAACACAGCCTGTACAACAGCGGGGCTTGGCGGCCAGTCCCTGAGGCAGGATGAGAGGCAGGCAGCTGCTGTGTGAGGCTGGCCGTTTGGAGAGAGGGTGCTGTTTTTGACGGGGAGGGGAAAAGGAGGAACTTCTACATAAAGACTTTTGTTTCTCAGCGACTTACATTGATTAGCGGGTTCGCCTTCGGCAGTGCAGGAACAGGGTGGAGTGATGGCTTGGATCCCAAGGAGAAATGATCATGTATTGAAATCTTTGTATTTCTAATTTTTTTGATTGGGTGCTATACTTTGCCACCAAGAAGAATCTACTCCACAGGGTTAATAATTCATTCCTGCAACAGATACTTACTGGGTCAAATGTAGCGGTGAGTGCCAGAATGTTCCCCAAATGCTTAGGACTTAGTGGTTAATGGAGAGAAGATAGAAAGAGGTGAGGTACAAGCTGTCTAGGACCCTTTAGTGTCTCCCCTCCCCTTCCCTCTGTGTGTGTGTGTGTGTGTGTGTGTGTGTGTGTGTGTGTGTGTGTGTGTGTGTGTGTGTGTGTGTGTGTGTGTGTGTGTGTGTGTGTGTGTGTGTTTAAGAGAATTAGTGTACAGATTGCCCAAGAAATGATGATTTTTAAGTTGGTTGTGGGGCTTGAACTCTGGGTCTGGACGCCGTCACTGAGCTCTTCAGCCCAATGCAAGTGCTCTACCACTTGAGTCAAAGCATCACTTCCAGTTTTCTGGTGGTTAACTAGAGATAAGAGTTTCACAGGCTTTCCTGCCCGGGCTGGCTTCGAACCTCGGTCCTCAGATCTCAGCCTCCTGAGTAGCTAGGATTACAGGGGTGAGCCACTGGTGCCCGGCTGCAGCAAGATTATTATTATTATTTTTTGGTGTTAGGGCTTGAACCCAGAGCTTCTCACATCCTAGGCAAGTGTTCTTCTACTGAGCCGCATCTAGCACCTAGAGTCATGTATTTAGCCTTTGCTTTGTGACTGGCTTTGGGAGAAAAAGACTTCAAGTTTATATGGCTTGCCTCTGCCAACGGTGAGGGCTGGGGTCAGAGGCCTTCACTGTGGAGGGTGTTTGCTGGCTGTTCACACTCACAGTTATTCTCACATTTCCTCAATTCAGACACGTTTACCGAAATGCCTGTGACTTGCTAGACAGTAAACATTTAGAACTGGTATTTTCCTAGTTGTGCCATTAAGTTAGGAATCTAAAATGTGAGGATGCTTACCGTATTGGAGTGATGGCTATCTCCTCTCTACCTTTTTAATTCTTTTGTACTGGTCCTGGGGCTTGAACTCAGGGCCTGAGCACAGTCCCTGAGCTTTTGGGCTCAAGGCGTTTTGGTAGTTAATTGAAGATAAGAGTATTACGGACTTTTTTTTTTTTTGGCTTGGTTTTGAACTGTGATCCTCAGATCTCAGCCTTCTGAATAGCTAGGATTAAGCTATGAGCCACTGGCACCTGGCTTTTTTATTTTTAAATAGGAGTGCATAGTTAAGTAGTAGGAAGTCATTTGTAGAAAAGATTTCTAAAATTTCTAGAATTTTGAAAACCAGAAATTTGAACCTGTACCCATTTGACAAATATTCTTCCTTGATTTCCCCAAGGAGCCAGTGGCTGGCCCTTTTGGCCAGGGGCTGAGTGGCCTGTGGGCTGGTGCAGCTGCTGGCATTGAATGCAGGGAATATGGAGCAGGGGCTGGCTCATTTGAACAGGTTGGAGTAAGTTGTAGCATAGGGCCATGCCTTCATGGTGGAGCTGTGCACATGTCGTCCAGGTCACCACCTTGTCCTTGGAAGGTTGGTGAGGGCATTACATTACAGCAGGAAAAGCCTTCTACTCTGCTTAATTTTGGTCCCAGGATAGCTACAGGGTGAGTTTCAGAGGCCTTTGAGCTCCACCTCAGAAGGTGAAGTGTGCATTGACAGCTGCTCTGTGGAAGCTGACCTTTTGTCCTGTGTGCGGAAATCTTTAAAAACTTAATCATGGCTCTCTTTTGTGGAACATGTTTACAGTTTATAAAGTGTTGGAACATAGTATTGTAGCAGGTGTTTTCCTACGACAGCCCTATCATTTGGCCTCTATAGGGATCATTATCCCTTTTCATAACTAACAGGTAGATAAAGTAACTCATTTGAGGTCACCCAGCTAATTAGGCTGGTATCAAGGCAAGCACTCAATTTCAGGATTTTTTTTTTGGCCGTCCTGGGGCTTGAACTCAAGGCCTGGGTGCTGTCCCTGAGCCTCTTTATGCTCAAGGCTAATGCCTTGAGCACCACAGCACCAATTCGGGCTTTTTTGAGTTGTTTATTGGAGATAAGAGTCTCTCAGGGACTCTTCTACCCAGGCTAGCTTTCAACCTTGATCCTTAGATCTCAGCCTCGTGAGTAGCTAGGATTACAGGTGTGCGCCATTAGTACTTGGCTGAAGTAGGAATACATTTTGCTTGGCCAGATTGTCTCACTATATCCTTAGCTTCAAACTTTTATTGACTGAAAGGTAGAGGAGTCAGGCACTGGTAGCTCAAACCTGTAATCCTAGCTATTCAGGAGGCTGAAATATGATCATCCAAAGCCAGCCTGGACAGGAAAGTCCGTAAGACTCTTACCTATAATAAAACAAACTATGAAAAAGCTGCAAATGTGCCAGGCATTGGTGGTTCACACCTGTAATCCTAGCCACTCAGGAAGCTGAGATCTGAGGATCCTGGTTCAAAGTCAGTCCACGCAGGAAAGTCTGTGACTCTTATCTCCAATGAATTCCTTAGAAAAAGCCAGAAATGGCATTGTGGCTCAAGTGATGAGGGTTAACCTTGAGCAAGAGCAGCTCAGGGACAGCATTGAGTTCAAGCCGCAGGACACACACACACACACATTCTCTCTCTCTCTCTCTCTCAGTGTCTCTGTCTTTCATGCACACATACCCCCCCCCCCCCCCCCCCCCCCACATATGGTAGAAGAAAGGAAGGCGACACTTAGGTTCTGAACTCTTATGAGGGAAAAGATAGTTCGGACTTGTCAGCAATGATTTTGTTTTTTACTTCCCAAGCGCAGAGATTACAGGTGGGTGTGAGCATGCCCAGCTCCTTCTCACTTGTGACCTTCCACAAAGTAGTGGCCAAATGAAGGAAGCCTTGTCTACATGTTCTTTACCATTGTGAAGGAGTAGAAGGGGTGTTAACTGTGTTGTTTGGTGGAACACTTCACTGTACCATAAAAAAGGGCTGATAACAGACTCGGTGCTTTTTATTTTTTTAAATTGTTTTAACTTTTTTATTTTTTGTTGGTCATGGGGCTTGAACTCTGGGCCTGGGTGCTGTCCCTCAGCTCTTCAGCTCAAGGCCAGCACTCTACCACTTGAGCCACAGCGCCACTTTCAGTTTTCTGGTGGTTTATTGGAGATAAGAGTCTCACGGACTTTCCTGCCCAGGCTGGCTTTGAACTGGGATCCTGAGATCTCAGCCTCCTGAGTAGCTAGGATTACAGGCGTGAGCCACCATTGCGTCAATGCATCATGGGGCATGGTACCTCCCTCTGGACGCTAGAGCAGGCAGTGCTAGAGGCAAGAGGAACACTGGACCTGATGGGGAGGAGGTGAAGGGGTGGGCTCTTGAGGGCCCTTGGTGATGGCTGTGTTCTGTCTTCGCTCTCAGGTGAGCAATGGCGGGCGCCGGTGAGCGCAAAGGCAAGAAGGACGACAATGGCCTCGGGACGGCCATCGATTTTGTGCTCTCCAATGCCCGGCTGGTGCTGGGGGTGGGCGGAGCCGCCATGCTGGGCATTGCCACGCTGGCGGTTAAGCGGGTAAGTGTGTGCAGGCAGGGCTGGGATGGGAGGTGGAGAGGTGGCTCTGCAGCGTGCAGCCCTTTCTTGGCACTAGGGTTTGACATTGTTGGTGGAGTCAGCCTGGGGGCTTGGCATGGTTAGACAAGAACTCACGAGGCTTTAGGAGGTCTGTTGTAAAGGAGTCATGGGAGCTGGGCGCTGTGGCTCACACCTGTCATCTTAGCTACTCAGGAGGCTGAGATCTGAGGATCACAGTTCAAAGCCAGCCCGGGGAAGGAAAGTCCGTGAGATACCTATCTCCAATTAACCATGAGAAACTGGAAAAGGTGCTGTGACTCAAATGGTAGAGCGCTAGCTTTGAGCTGAAGAGTTGAGGGACAGTGCCCAGGCCCAGAGTTCAAGCCCCATGACCAACAAAGAATTCAATGGAGAGACGGATAAAGTTTATGACAACAAGTAAAAATTGGGAATTGACTATTTTAAAGTAGCAACAGCACATTGTACTTTTTTGTGTGTGTGTGCTGGTCTTGGGGCTTGAACTCTGGCTTGAACTGGCTACCATTCCTGAGCTCTTTGGTCAAGGCTAGCACTCTTACCACTTGAGGTATAGCTCCACTTTTGCTTTTTTAGTGGTAAATTGAAGATAAAGAATCTTCTGGATTTTTCTGGTTGGACAGGCTTTGAACCGCTGTCCACGAACCCTAGTCTCATAGGATTACATACAAGAGCCACTGACACCTGGCTGCACATTTTATTTCTTGTTCCTCTTCCTCCTCCTTTTTTTTTTAATAGAATAATTTCACTACTCTTATTTTTAAGACATTTGATCAGTTTGTCCTTGAATGAATCAATGGGTGTGGAGCCCACGATGCAGGCGGCCTGTAGTTTATGGATTGCTGGGTGCTGGGCATTGTCCTAGGTATTAAGAATACAGAAAATCCAAGAGGTCTGGTCCCTGCCCTCATGGAATTTCAGTCTACTAGGAGAATACAGGCAATATGAAATAAGTGAATGAAATTTTAAAGTATACAGCTTGAACCAAAGTATATTATAGACACCTGAAAAAATCATAGTGAAATCCATTGAAATGTTACGTTAAAGCCAGGTGCTGGTGGCTCATGCCTATAATTCTAGCTACTCAAGAGACTGAGATATGAGTATTGAGGTTCAAGGCCAGCTGGGCAGGAAAGTCCATGAGGCTCTCATCTTCAATAAAATACCGAGAAAAGGCTGGAAGTGGTAGAGTGCTAGCCTTGAGCAGAAGAGCTCAGGAACAGTACCTACACCTCAAGTTCAAGCCCCAGGACAAACAAAAAAGCTAAAAATAAACAGTTTAAAGTATATAGGAAGATACATGTAGGTTGCATGCAACTACTGTGCCATTTTATATAAGGGAAGATTTTGGTATCCTTGGTGTGACTGGAAACCAATCCTCTTGGCATACTACTTGGGTAAATGAATCAGTGTTCAACATGGTAAATTTATAGGTACAATGTTATGTAGTCAGAAAAAAATTGAAGCATCGTTAGTGTTAGGACAAGCTCAAAATTGTGTTGTGAAAAATCCAGTTTCACTAGCTCATAGAATATGCTGAGTACCGAGCTACCTGTAATTCTAGCTACTCAGGAGTCTGAGATCTGGGGATCATGGTTTTAAGCTAGCTGGGGCAGGAAAAGCCCTAACACTTTTTGTCTTCATTTAACCATCTAAAAGCTGGAAGTGGAGCTGTGGCGTAAGTGGTAGAGCTCTAGCCTTGAGCTGAAAAAAAGCTCAGGCACGGCGCCCAGGCCCTGAGTATAAGCCCAGGATTGGTACAAATAAAAAGTATACAGAGCCAGGCACCAGTGGCTCATGCTTGTAACTCTAGCTACTCAGGAGGCTGAGATCTGAGGATTGCGGTTCAAAGCCAGTTTGGGCAAGAAAGTCCGTGAGATTCTTATCTCCAATTAACCACCAGAAAACTGGAAGTCTGTGCTGTGGTTCAAGTGGTAGAGCGCTCACCTTGAGCTGAAGAGATGAGGGACAGCGCCCAGGCCCAGAATTCAAGCCCCATGACTGACCAAAAAAAAAAGACGTATAGAGAACGTGATCCTGATTATATTAATACATATTTCTTGAAAGAAAAATACCTGATCATAATGATTTTCTCTGGGTTGTAGCATTGTGGACAAATCTGTTTATAACTTTCAATTAGCATTTTCTGAGATTTTTCTGCATAGAGCAATGTATTCTGTAGTCTAAAAGCTCAGTCATCTCCTGGGCGCTGGTGGCTTACGCCTGGAATCCCAGCTACTCAGGAGGCTGAGATCTGAGGATCATGGTTCAAAGACAGGAAAGTGTGAGACTCTTACTCAATTAACCATCATAAAAACCCTAGAAGTAGATCTGTGACTCAAGTGGTAGAAAACAAGCCTTGAGCAAAAGATTGGCACAGGGATAGCACTCTGGCCTTGAGTTGGAGCCCCAAGATCAGCACATACTAAAAAGCCCCAATGGTAGCATGCTTGACCTAATTTTTTTTTTTTTTTTGGGTCCAGTCGTAGGGCCTGAACTCTGGGCGTGGGCGCTGTCCCTCAGCTCTTCAGCTCAAGGCTAGCGCTCTACCACTTGAGCCACAGCACCACTTCCAGCTTTTTTCTTTTTGCTTATGTGGTGCTGAGGAATCAAACCCAGGGCCTCATGCATGCAAGGCAAGCACTCTACCACTGAGCCACCTTCCCAGCCCCTTGACCTAATTTTTGTACAAGGCCTAGGTTCAATCCTGAGAACTGAAAAAAAAATTGATCTGAGTCGGTAGGGCAAGGAGAGAAGGTTGGCATGTATTCTGGATCCTCTCTGCTGTTTCAGATGTACGACCGGGCAATCAGTGCCCCTACCAGCCCTACCCGCCTGAGCCATTCAGGGAAAAGGAGCTGGGAAGAACCAAACTGGATGGGTTCCCCCCGAATGCTCAACAGGGACATGAAGGCAGGCCTGAGCCGCTCCCTGCAGACCCTTCCCACCGACTCAGCAGCCTTCGACACAGGTGAGGAGCTGCTGCCCCTGCTGGGCCTGCCTGTGGACGCCGGTGCTGTGCTACTCGCGTGTTACACAGACGCTTCTCAGTCACAGATGTGTCAGGTGAAGCTGGCACTTGCCCTTGGTGTGAGGCAGCGCAGACTGAGCAAGCGTGGGAAGAGCTCACACGCCTTTCTTTCTTGCCTTGGCAGATACGTTCAGCCCACCCCGGCCCAAGCCATTGGCCAGGAAGGGCCAGGTGGACTTGAAGAAGTCACGACTCCGCATGTCCCTGCAGGAGAAACTGCTTTCTTACTACCGGAACCGGGCAGCCATCCCTGCCGGAGAGCAGGCTCGGGCCAAGCAAGCTGCCGTGGACATATGTGCTGAGCTGCGGAGCTTCCTTCGGGCCAAGCTGCCTGACATGCCCCTTCGGGACATGTACCTGAGTGGCAGCCTCTATGACGACCTGCAGGTAACGAGGCTGTTGTCTACACGGGTGGGGCAGCGCACCCAGCAGCGTGGTTGGTCAGGACCCGAAAGGCCGGGGCCAGCTGTGCATCCCGTGCCCTGCGGCGGCTTGCCTCGTTGGCATTGTCCCTTCCCTTTCTGGTGTCCTCATCAGGTGGATGGGCTCTGTGCCGTTAGCGTCCGTCTTGCTGGGAGAGCAGGTCTCTTGGGCAGGTCAGTCAGCCCTCAGAAGCTGTCGTTCTTGCTGGCAGGTGGTGACGGCTGACCACATCCAGCTCATCGTGCCACTTGTGCTGGAGCAGAACCTGTGGTCTTGCATCCCTGGCGAGGACACCATCATGAACGTCCCTGGTTTCTTCCTGGTTCGTCGTGAGAACCCAGAGTACTTTCCTCGTGGTAGCAGTTACTGGGACCGCTGCGTGGTGGGGGGCTACCTCTCTCCAAAGACCGTGGCCGACACCTTCGAGAAGGTGGTGGCCGGCTCCATCAACTGGCCGGCCATAGGCTCCCTCTTGGACTACGTGATCCGACCAGCACCGCCCCCAGAGGCCCTGACGCTAGAGGTGCAGTATGAACGGGACAAGCATCTGGTCATTGACTTCCTGCCATCGGTGACCCTGGGTGACACCGTTTTGGTGGCGAGGCCACACCGGCTAGCTCAGTACGACAACCTGTGGCGGCTGAGTCTGCGTCCCGCGGAGACGGCACGCCTGCGGGCTTTGGACCAGGCTGACTCGGGCTGCCGGTCTCTGTGCCTCAAGATCCTCAAGGCCATATGCAAGTCCACTCCAGCTCTGGGTCACCTCACTGCCAGCCAGCTGACCAATGTCATCCTCCACTTGGCCCAGGAGGAGGCTGACTGGTCCCCAGACATGCTGGCCGACCGTTTTCTGCAGGCCCTGAGAGGACTCATTAGCTACTTAGAGGCCGGAGTCCTGCCCAGTGCACTGAACCCTAAGGTGAACTTGTTGGCAGAGCTCACCCCCGAAGAGATAGATGAGCTGGGGTACACTCTGTACTGCTCGCTCTCTGAGCCTGAGGTGCTGCTACAGACGTAGGGCAGGTGAAGGCCAAAGCTGCGTTAGGAGGTCAGGCCCCCAAAGTCTGTGTTAGAAACACTTGGTTGCATGGTTGGTGCCTCGCAGGTCCCCAGGTGCCTCCTGCCTGCTGGCCACTTCATGCTGGCTGATAAGAATGGCATCTCCACCTCCTGTTTTTTCACTCACCCTTTTCTATTTTTGTTACCAAACACTGTGCTTCCCCCTAACCCCCCTCCCCACCCTCTCCGCTGGTTTCTGGGATTGCATGGGCGGTGGAGCACTGGCCTGAGCTGTGGACAGGGCCTGGAGGTTGGCATCAGGCCCAGTTTTCCTGCTTCTTTGTGCTCTGCCCATGTGCATCTTCCTATTTAGTGTTTCTCCATCTTTTCCCTTCTGTTCTTTTTGTGTTTTGCTTTGTCTCTGCAGGATATCTGCCTAATCAACACATTGCCTTTCAGTTGAATGTCACAGAAGAGCCATGATTGTTTGCAAGCTGAACTCTGCAGAATGAATGCTGAGGCAGTATTTAGGGTTTCGGGGGCTGAGGTTGGAGGAAAAGCCTGGTTCCTAGAAAGCAAGCCCATTGCATCCATCTGAGCAACTTACACGCATACGTGCTGAGACCACCTCTTGGGGGAGGGAGGGCACTGAATTGATCCCCAGCAGAAACTGGATGTGGAGTTGTTTAGGGATGGTGTCTTGGTGTAGCCATCAGTGAGAGTGAAGGTGGTGGGTGGGTGTGGAGCTGCTCAGAGCGCCTCCATGTCCGCATCTGTGTCTCCTTTGTGGGTCTTGGAGCCAGGCTGGCGGGGGGAAGGGCTGCCTGCACAGTACTTCCAGATTGTTGGCCCCACTCATTCACTTGATTGCCAATAGGAGAAGGCCTTGCAGGAACAGCGCCTTAGCAGTAGAGGCCGAGGGAGGGTGGCTGGGGGCTGAGTGTCAGCTGGAAAGCCCAGTGGCCAGTTGGGGCTCAGTGACCCTGTTTTTTCCCCCCACAGGCCCTGCCTTTCTAGGATGTTGCCTTACAGCAAGAACACGCCCCAGGCCAAACCCTCCCTCCCCCATGTCCACCTCAGCCAAGGGAGCAGAGTGTTGGCGGAGCCCAGCAGGCACCTCTGAGGGCAGGTGAACACGGCCAGGCCCCACCCTCTTGTCCTCTCTCTGCCACCCGGGGCAGTTGGTGCTACTTGGGAAGAGAGCACACATAAACGTACAGGGGAGGGAGGCGGGCACTTCCCACGCCCCGTCTTATTTTCCGCTGCTAAAATTGCACTATTTATGGTAATTAAATGTGTCCTAGGTGGGGAGAAGTGTTGACTACACCATGTCAGTGTCTTCTCGTCTTTTCCTGTGTGTGGAGAGTGACCGTCTATCCAGTATTATTTTATCTGTCCGGTTGTGGTCTTACTTGATCTCTTCTTACTACCTCTCTGTCTGAGAGATTGAGCAGTGGTCTCAGCCCTTCGTGGTGATGTGAACCAACACCTCAATGACATTCCTTGAACTCCCAGGCTTAGGGGGAAGAGGCAGAAGCTTGCCCCCTTTGATATGGGTTAGGAGGTTAACTAGGGTACCTTGGATTATGTCTGTGTTCCTGACTCCCCCCCCCCCAAGGCTTCCTTGGAGTTCAGTTGTTTCTCTTGTGTACGGAAGGCATTGCCAGCATGCCACCCTGGCTATTTAGTCAAATGGGAGTTTGAGATTTTGTGTGTGTGTGTGTGTATGTGTGTGTGTGTGTGTGTAAGTAAACGCTCCTGTGGGCTCCGTGTAGAGGAAGGGGGAGGTGCCTCACGCGGAGGGATCTGCAGCCCCTTCACCCCCTTGGGGTGTCTCTTGGAGGAGAAGCTTGATAAAATGCTGCCAAAATGGATGTTCTCTGTTGAGATACACTGTATTACAAAATGGAAACATTCCCCAAGCTGTCATCTTTAGTCAAATTTCATGTAACACACTGGAAAGAGCTTTAAAGACCCTCAAGATTTTAGAGTCCCAACTTACCCAAGTCAAGTGCCATGTTTTTACCTCCTGGCTGAGGGCAGTCCCAGCTCTTGACTGTTGCACAAAATCAGAACCACAACTCATCTCAAAAGCAAGAGCTGCTTCCAAGGCCTTGACTGGGCAGGCCCTGTTGCCATTTTTTTTTTTTTGTAACAACGTAGGTGGTATCCATAGGCTCTGAGATGCTTGCAGGACAGCATTGTCCCTTGGGGGAAGTGCAGTGGCTGTCTCTAAGGTCTGCCTTTTTTGTTCAGTAACTCCCACTTCTGTCTGAAGGATTAGGTAACTCCTACTTGTCTATCTGGAGACCATTTTTTGGCACTATCTAGATTAGCAAACCCAGTGCCTGAAAGTATTGATTGTTGTCTTAAACACTTAATAAATGACAAATTTATTTTGGTCTGGCTGCCCCTTCCTAAAAAAAAAATCTAGAACAGCAGTATCTTTATATGGTTGGCTGTGACAGTTTAGAAATGGGAAAGCCTGAATCTCACGTTTGGAGACACTGTGCTGAGGAAACCTGTGTTTCCTGGGTCTTGGCTCTTGATACTCACATGAGCTATTTTGCTCCCTTGTTCTCCACTCCAGAGCTCAGATGGTTCCAAAGGGGACTCACCTCAGAATCAAGGGCATAAGTAGGGACCCTGTATGTGTCTGCTGCCCTTTCCATGTTATACCTTCCTAGGGATTATGACTTGGCCAAGAATTTCTGCTCCAAACTCTGGCCTTTTGTGTGAAGATCAAGGTCAAGGAAGATGTAAGAGACTTAACGGAATTAGAGCTGACCTCTGTACCAGACAGAACTGAGCATCTGCAATGCTTTTACATGCTCATTGTATAAATGCTCTATATACCACAGATGGGCTTTTGGTTGTCAGCTTCATACTGGGGAATATTACCTTTTCCTCTTGATCACCTTGTAGTCTTTATTTTATTTATTTTTTGTTCATTTATTTGGTAGGTCGTGGAGCTTGAACTGAGGGCCTGGGCACTGTCTCATCTCTTTTGCTCAAGGCTCATGCTCTACCACTTTGAGTCATAGTACCACTTCCAGGTTTCTGATGTTTAAGTGGAAATGACAGTGTCATAAGATTTTCCTGCCCAGGCTAGCTTTGAACTTCAATCCTTCAATTTCAGCTTCCTGAGTAGCCAGGATTACAGGTGTGAGCCACCAGCACTGGCTGTAGTCTTTAACTTATTGTCCCAGAGGCCAATCCTGCAACTTGCCTTGTAGTCACTTGCCTGCCCTTTGGTGGTGGTCGATGTGTTTGCTGGTAGATTTGGAGTCACGTCAGTCTTTGTGTCCTCCTTTAGGTCCTTGTAGGAGTAGCTGAGCCAGAGAACTATACTTTTTCTCCGTGAAGGAGGAAATTAAACTGGGAACACATGTCTTTCTGCAGAACAGGAAGAAGAAAATAAAACTCTCCAACTTTGATTTTTGCATGTGGTGTGAAACATCTTCCTACAGGAGTGCTGGGACTCCATTTTCAGCCAAGAGAACCTTTGATCTGGGCCATTAATAGGCTAGGTGGGACAACAGCCCACCATGACCTCTGTATTTTCAAAACAAGTAGTTTGTTACCCATCTGCATGGTTACATCAGGGTCTCAGGCCTAGTTATCTCTTCCAAAAACATAATGGCTTAGGATTCTTACTGTCTTTGTGCTTAAAAGACAATTTACATCTGTCCACTTTCAGAATTCCCACAAGGAAAGAAAAGCCACATGTTCACAGCGTCTAGTAAGCCTTGTGCATTCCAGTAGTTTATAGTTGCTGGCTTCATTAAAGTAATTGACGGGTTCTCTGAGGAAAAATGAATCATGGAGAGGAGGGCTAGGTCAGTTCAGGGGACCTAAGGGCTGACAAGGAATCATAGCAACCATTTGCTGAGCACTTTGGTTAGCCGAGTGCTTTACCGACATGATCTCACTTCATTTCAAGGACAAGGATACTCAGCCCCATTGTACAGAGGAAACCGGCTCACATTTCAGCCAAATGTCCTGGCTAACAAGTGACCGCGCCAGCCCTCAGGCCTTTGTATGGGTTAAGGGTGTGAGTACAGAGGACAGGGAGGGGCGGGGGCCTTCTCTCCACTCCTGCCGCAGCTCCCCGTGGAGGGCTGGCGCTCAATTGGACGACTTCCAAACAGGTCTCTGGCAGGCCCTCAGGGTGACCTGTTGGAAAGCTGATTATCCTTGGAAAGGGGACTTTGGAAGTTGATGAAACTACCTTGGAGGGGTGTCAGATGAAAAGCCACCGTTTCCTAAAGCCCGAAGGTACTGTTGACACGTGAGGCACGGGGGTCAGGAGCAGGGACCGGCCTGCACCGCACTCCCAGGGGCTCTGGGCCGGGCCAGCCTCGGCTGCACCTGGGAAGGCAGGCCAGGCCTGAGAGCACTCAGCTCGGGGAGAAGGCACGCAGCCGGAAGTTCAGGTAGTTATTTCCGAGCTCCGCTGCAGGCGGCAAGAAGAGGTTACTACTTCGTACAGGAACCCGAGCAGGCAGTCATTCGCGGCAGTCAACAGCAGGCAAGGACGGGGAACCGCAGGGAGATGGACTCCAGAGGTGGCAGGGACGGCTTCGTCCCTTCCCGCTCAGAGACTCGGTTTCCTAACCTAGTAGTCCGCCCACTGCAGGCTCCGGGCCAATAGGAACTTGGGATATGAATGACTCATCACGATCGGGCCAATGAGGTTGACGCGCTTCCCGCCAGCATCTCGCGCGATAGTCCGGAGGTCTCTTCATAATGCTGCTTTAGAAGGAAAGACTTTTCCCCGCCCCTGGGCTGACACCGGAAGTGAGGCTAGATGAGAGATCCCTCCGCGGCCCGCGGCGGGTAGGAACGTGACACTTTCATCGTAGGCTTGGTGCAAAGTAGTGCGCCCTTTCCTTTGATCTCATAGGGCTTTGAAATTAAACTCCTATTCCTAGAACAACCCTCACAAACTGGTCGGGGTCTAGAGGCGGTGGATATATCAACGAGAAGACGAGTAAGCCGGCAGGGAGGGTCACGTGACCGCGGCGGAGGGATGCAGTCGGTGCTGCGTCCCACGGAGTTTATAAAAGGCCGGCGCACGGCGCGGGGCGGCCATTTTCCTCAGCTCGCCGGTAGATGTAGACGTGTCCGAGATCCCGCGCCTTCCCTCCTCCCCTCCCTGCGGGCGCGCAGCCACCATGGCGTATTAGAGGCAGCAGTGCCTGCGGCAGCTTTGGCCTTTGCAGCAGCGGCAGCAGCACCAGGCTCTGCAGCGGCAACCCCCAGCGGCTTAAGCCATGGCGTGAGTACCCGGGCGGGGCCGGGCGTGCGTGCGCCTGCGGCGGTGCGGGGCTCGGCCTGGGCGGGCGCGGCTTGCGGCCAGGGCGCGCCGCCCGGGGGGAAGCGGTTTTACGAGCGCCGGGACGCGGGGTCCCTGTCGCGGCGTCCTGGGGGATGGCTGCCTCCCGTGGGGCGGGGACGCCGCCCCGCCACGGAGCCGCCTTGTCTGGGACCCCGCCGCGCGCTCAGCTCGCGGGGGATCCCGGCGCCCCGCGAACGTGGCAGCCGCCAAGATGGCGGCGGGGCGGGGGCGTGAGTCATGGCGGCGGGGCGGGGCGGGGCGCAGCGGTCACGGCCGTATTTGGTGCGAGCACGAGCGCCTTCCTCTGGGCGGCCCGTCCGGGAATGGCGGAGTCTCCATTTTGTGCAATGGAGCCGGCGGTGGAAGTCGGCACAATGGCCCTGCGGCCGTGTGCTCCCCACCCTGGGTTTACCATCTGGCCTTCTCACGTCTCGGGAGAAAAGATGGAGTTCTTTCTAGAGCTTTCCCTGACGGGAATGGCCTTCTGGTTCCTATTCAGGCTTTTCACGGCATCCAGCAGCAGCGTTGCTGTAACCGACAAAGACACCTTCGAATCAAGCACATTCCTCGATTCCAGCAAAGCCCCGCATCATGACCGAGATGGAGATGAGCTACCAGAGCAGCGAGGTGTTGGTGGGGGACTTGATGTCCCCCTTCGACCAGTCGGGTTTGGGGGCTGAAGTCAGTCTGGGCCTTTTAGATGACTACCTGGAGGTGGCCAAGCACTTCAAACCTCATGGGTTCTCCGGCGACAAGGCAAAGGCGGGCTCCTCCGAATGGCTGGCTGTGGATGGGTTGGTCAATGCCTCAGATACCGGCAAGGGTGAGTTTTTGCGTGGGTTTGCGCACCGCGGGTTTGGCCACTTTGTGGGTCTGGTTTAATCGACTAATTGTCAAATCTTTTGTAGAGGATGCCTTCTCTGGGACAGATTGGATGTTGGAGAAAATGGATCTGAAGGAGTTTGACTTTGATGCCCTGTTTCGTTTCGATGACCTGGAAATGGAAACCATGCCTGATGAGCTTTTGGCCACGTTGGATGACGCGTGTGATCTCTTTCCCATAGTCCAAGAGAACAAGGAGCCCCCCCAGACAGTGAACCCAATTGGCCATCTCCCAGAAAATGTAAAAACCGACCAGGTTGCTCCCTTCACCTTCTTACAACCTCTATCGTCTACTCCAGATCATTCCTTTAGCTTAGATCTAGGCAGTGAAGTGGATATATCTGAAGGAGACAGGAAGTCTGATTCCACTACTTATATTACCATGGTCCCCCAGTATGTAAAAGAGGAAGACTCCCCCTCAGATAATGACAGTGGCATCTGTATGAGCCCAGAGTCTTACTCGGGCTCTCCCCAGCACAGCCCCTCTGTCTCCAGGGGCTCTCCAAATCGTCTGCAGTCTCCAGGTGTATCCTGTGTGTCTGTCCGCCCCAAACCCTATGATCCTCCTGGGGAAGCTGCAAGAGTCAGGGTTGATAAGCTGGATAAGAAGCTGAAGAAAATGGAACAAAACAAGACAGCAGCCACTAGGTACCGCCAGAAAAAGAGGGCAGAGCAGGAAGCCCTTGCTGGCGAATGTAAAGAACTAGAAAAGAAGAATGAGGCTCTGAAGGAAAAGGCAGATTCTCTAGCCAAGGAAATACAGTATCTTAAAGATCTGATAGAAGAGGTCCGGAAGGCAAGGGGGAAGAAAAAGGCCCCCCAGTAGGGTAGTCAGGAGTGCTGCGTTGCTTGTACATAGGGATCTTGTGCTGAAGCTGTTAATAAATTATTTTGTAGTGAAACTTACCAACAGACCTAGTGTGTTCCTTAACCTCACTCTTAAGACACAGCCTCCAGTTTGTGACCAACCTGCAGGTTTGGCTCTGATAGCCTTGTCTTTGGGGGAGGGACCGATGCTCAATGGTGTATGACCCAGAATAAAGGGTGGCTAAGTAGGTTGTCAGGTGGGTGCTATAAAACTTCCTCAGTACTGCCTGCAGTTGGCTGGCTTTGTGCCAACATTTGCTGTGGAAAGTACCCAGCCAAGGTCACATTCCTCAAGATTATGTTTGC